CAGAGAGAGAGAGAGAGAGAGAGAGAGAGAGAGAGAGAGAGAGAGAGAGAGAGAGTTTATTCTCTTACTCTTTATCATTCTCTTTAGAAATGCACGTCCTTTAAAAACACACCACTGTATGATGACTCACATGAATCCATAATCATATTTACTTCCTGTATCAACTTCTTTAGTTGTTATTACCAGGACTTGAAACATTTATATACCACAGGCTTATTCATACCTAGAGCCTAAGCCATAATAAATAAATAAATGCTTGAAGTAAATAGGTACAGGGTGACAAAATCAAGAAAAGTCTGGTATTATATTTAGATCACCAAAATTTTGTCCTGAGGGAATTTTGCTGACCTCTTACAAGAAGGTACTACCCCTTTTCTTTGTATAACAACAAGTAACACCTTCCTGTACTTATCAAGTTATGACAATAAAATCCCCTTTCCTCTGCATCAGTAAATCCCCCTCTATACTTAGCAGTTATTTCACTGGTAAGATATGAAAGAAAAAATTTCACAGCTTGACAAATACTAGCACATAATAAGTACAAGCGTGACTTAACAGAAAAATCCAGATCAACTAAAAAGATATAGCCTCTTGTCTTCAACCACCGTATTTCCACCTTATCCTCACAAAACTAAAAGCAACACTTGAATGTAATCTAGAGTAGCCATATTGGATATGTTTGGGTTATTTTAGTGAATATTGTCGAGATCAGTAAAAGTCAGTAAACATTCCTTTTCCGGTGTGATATCCAATTTTTTTTTTTGCTTTTACACATTTTATCTATATCGCCTTTATGTAAACATCAAAATTCATGTATATGTATTCATTTACTTGTTTGTACTCTGTTATGGTAAGTTGTACTGTCTTTGATTGTACCTTATTTGTAAAGGTGTATCAAAAAAAGAATCCCTATTGTCATCACAATACCTAGTTATCTTAATAAGGGCAGTTTGGGTGACACTTGACATATCTAGACTTCCTGTCATGTAATAATACATACATACATGTGCATTTATGTGTTTAAAACAATGACAATAATAACTGAAACGTTTCATAAACAAAATACAAGAGATGGGCTCACTGGAATTGTTACACAACTTGTAAAAAACTCTCCCCTCACGAAATTCTAAATAAACGCATGCACAATTAAGTAATTATTGTAAGTTACCATTTCCACTAAAATAACAGTTAATCAAACATTATGGGGTAGAGTTGGGTTTGAAATCCTTCCTTGCTGTTACATCAGGACCAGCTGCATTGCATTACTATATTGTCATTACTTGGGCATTGCACACCACGTTTTAGACAGAAAGATTCCTTTAACCCTGCAAGAAACAGGAATTTATGTCTACTCACCCGCCTGCAATAAGATGAGTCCATGTCTTCCAGTCGACAGACATGTCCCTTAGTCTAACACGCTGGCTTGTACAATTTCCCCAATTTTCCAACTTCTTCTAGACGGCTACATAAATACCATGATGTTGTTGTCATTGAGCATTGTGATGGTATAAATTGGGAGTGTCTATAAAACCGAGCCTTTGATTGGTCAATGTAACATACACCTCTTAAAACGCGCTGTTTTATTGGCTTGTTGTATATTTGACCCCGTGACCTCGTTTCATGTCCACGGCATGGTTATAGCACGTGTACAGAAACTTGACCTAATTTCAGT